GTTGAAATCTCCCATTAGCACAACATTTTCGTATGTAGATGCCTTACGAATTTCGTCCCATAATAGTTTACTGCACTCCCTATCAAGATTTGGGGCCCTGTAAATCACACCCAAAATTAGTTTTTTCTCTCGGCCCTCGAGAAGCTGTAACCAAACAGATTCAGTGGCTGACGCTTCTAATTTAATATCTTGTCTAACACAACAATTTAAATTGTCTCTGACATACATCGCTACTCCACCACCTTTCCTGTTGACCCTGTCAGTGTGGAATAATTTATAGCCTGTATGTGACATTCAGAGGCATCTCTCTATCTTTCAGATTGAGCCAGGTCTCTGTTATAGCAATAATGTCTATGTTTCCTGCACTTGCAATTAATCTTAGCTCATCTATCTTATTTCTAAAAACTCCTGCTATTAGTATAGTAAACCTTAAGGGAGCTAGTCCCTTGCTGCCCTCTGCTGTCCCCCTTTGTTTGCTGACCTGTTCTATTGTCTTTATTTATAACTTCATGCTGAATGCCTTTTATACATTTACTGTTTCCAACCCTAGTGTTGCAACCTGCTTGTTTCCCACACACACCCATACCTCTATCTTCCATCAGTTTAAAATCATAGGCATTTCACCAATGGCCTTCTCAATCGAGTCTGCAAGTGCTACCACCCCTGCCCCAGAGAGATGAACCCCATCCCTTGCATACATATCATGTTTGCCATAAAAGTTGTTCCAGTTGTCAATGAATGGGATTGCAAGTTCCTTGCAGTATCTGTCTAGCCAGCAATTTACACCAATTGCCCTAGACAACCATTCATTTCCTACTCCCCTTCTAGGCAAGATGCTACATATGATTGGGATCCCTCCCTTAGACTTAATGAAATCTATAGCTGACCTGTACTTATCTAGCAGCTCTTCTCTCCTACCCTTCCCAATATCATTTCCACCAGCACTGAGACAGATAATGGGCTTGTTCCCATTACCTGACATGATATTATCCAGTCTGTTGACAATGTCCCCAACACCAGCTCCAGGGAAGCACACTCTATCTCTCATCTTCTTATTCCTATTACAAAAAGCACGATCACATATCTTACCTGAGAGTCACCAACCACAAGAATGCGCTTACCTTCATTAGCAGGGCAGTAGTACCCTTACCTTCACTGGCCACTGAAGTACATTCATCCTGGAGAACAGAGAAGCGATTTCCTACCTTCAGATCTGCACTCTTAACTTTCCTTACTCTGATGCGCCTCCCATTACTGTGAACAACTCGCCACTTGTAGCAGGTGCTGGGCTGCACCTCACTGCTGGTAGCCGTTGCTACCACCCCACCAACAGCCTCCTCACAGTGAGAGACAGACTGCACCTCACTGCTAGAAGCCTCATTCCCCACATCTCCAACCACCTCACACTCTCTCCCAGGCCCATTGAGGTGGACCTTCAGCCTCCTAATCTCCTCCTGGAGAAGCAAGACCTCCTCCTTCAACTCTCCAACCTCAGCTTTTAAAACACTGTAGAAGCAAGCCATGCTTTGTAACCGTCCACGCTAATCCCCAAGCAGCTCAGGGTCTGTGACCTCACGTGACGACTGACCACTTTGTTGGGTTATTATTGGCTTTAGGTGTGTTGCTGCAGTTGATCCCCAAGCACAAATAGCATAGGTGAGGTATGGATAAATAAGTGAGTGGTATAGTGTGAGAAGGGCATTTTGCGGCACGTAGTATCGTATCTTGGAGAGGATCCCAACTGTTTTGGATACTTTTTTGGTTATGTGTTGTATATGGGTGCTGAAATTCAGGTTGTTGTCAAGGTATAGGCCTAGGAATTTGCCCTCATTATGTCTGGTAATTAGAGTGTTGTCGATCTTAATGTTAATTTGTGCATCTCCTGCTCTGCTACCAAACATAATATAGTAGGTTTTGTCAGTGTTAAGCGTAAGTTTATGAAAGAAGAAATATGAGATGTGGTAGCCAGATAACTTGTACAAGTGATGCCAAGAATAACATTTTCTCTAATCTAACATAAGAGAAAATGTGTTACTGGGGGTAACTGTAGAAAATTATTCCTTTCGTATGTATGTAAGTTTATTCAGGTATACACAAATACAGTTACATAGATTATCATACATAACAACATATGTGTAGAGAACCTAGGATAACCCAAAAAAGTCAGTGACTTATTTCCATTGCCTTCACTCAGAGCATCATTTCTTCTCAAAATGATGTTACATGAGAATGGGAGTGTTCTTCTTTATTTATTCTACCGTATCAATGTAGAGACAACCTGTACACAATGTAACTTGTACACAAACCAGACGTGTACACTTCGTTTATAAAACTTACCTTCGCCTGGTTTGTTTACATAACTCTGCACCTGTACTCTCTCATGCACTCATTCTTTCTCTCTCTCATTTATTCGTTTTATCTCATTTACTTACTCCTGACCCTACATTAAGACTACAAATATTTTAAGGTAAGTAATGAGTGAACTGTATACATGTATACATTTTATCGCTCTGGGATGCTTAAATGTAATAGAATATTATGTGTAGGTGGGTTGGCCTGGTATGGTAGCCCGGCTGACTACCATACATACCACACTTGATTTTTTACAATAAATACTACTCATCTCACCCTATATTTTAAGGTAAGTAATGAGTGAACTGTATATACATTTTATCGCTCTGGGATGCTTAAATATCATAGAATTGTATGTGTGGGTGGGGTGGCCTGGTATGGTAGCCTGGCTGACTACCATACATACCACACTTGATTTCTTACAATAAATACTACTTGTCTCACCCTAGATTAAGACTATAAATATTTTAAGGTAAGTAATGAGTCCACTATGTGTGTATTGTACTTTTTTATTGTTTTTTGATGCCTGGTTCTATTGCTAACTTAATATATGTTAGTGTAAACTTGTTATCTAGTGTTTGTATGCATTTGTAAGTGGAAAAAAAGGGTGTTCCACTTTACGGCGGTAGCCTGGAACCTAACCAGCCGTATAAGTGGGGCCCTACCGTACCTGTTTACTGCCAGGTAAACAGAGGACAACGGACATAAAGGGATTGACTGATACATCTTGCAAGGCTTGAGACTGAACCCAGATAATTCAGTTGCAAGCTGAAGGTTCTACCACTGAACTGTGAGCCCTCAGTCACATCGTGATCACATTCGTAAAATGCCTCTGTGAAAGCAACACTTGTGTTTCAATTCTTCTCCACACCTACATAATTCTGTCATAGTGGTTTAGTAAGTATGGCTTTAGTAAGTATGGCAAGTATGATCTTCCCACTCTACTTCATCTCAGCAGAGAGATATGAGCCAAGAACAAAGCTGAAAGCTCTAAGCTAAGAACAATGCTGAAACATAAGAAGAAAAATGTGAGCTAGAAAGAAAGATGTGACCTATGAAGAAGAAAATGTGAGCTAGAAAGAAAGATGTGAGCTATAAAGAAGAAAATGTGAGCTAGGAAGAGAAATGTAGGCTAAGAAGAAAGATATGAGCTAAGAAGAAAGGTGTGAGGTAAGAAGAAAGATGAAAGCTCTGAGATTGGAGGGAGGGAGTATGGAGGAAGTGAATATAGTCAGATATTTGAGAGTGGACATGTTGTCAGATGGGTTTATGAAGTACAAGGTAAATCACAGAACTGATGAAGGAAAAAAGGTGGGTGGTGCATTGAGGTACCTGTGGAGACAAAGAACGTCATCTAGGAAGACAAGAAGGGAATGTATGAGAGAATAGTGGTACCAACACGTATATGGGTGTGAAGCATGGGTTGCTAATGTAGCAGAAAAAGGAGGCTGGAGGCAGTAGAGATGTCATGTCTATGGGAAAAACATGTGGCATGAATATTATGCAAAGAATTTGTAGTGTGGAAATCAGGAGGTGTGGAGTTACTAAAAGTATTATTCAGAGGGTTGAGGAGGGGTTGTTGAGGTGGTTTGGTCATTTAGAGAGGATGGAGCAAAATAGGATGACTTGGAGGGTGTATAAATCTGCAGATGAGGAAAGGCAGGGTAGGGGTTGTCCTTGGAAAGGCTGGAGGAAGGGGGTAAAGGTTTCATGTGCAAGGGGCTTGGACATACAGTAGGCATGTGTGAGCATGTTAGATAGGAGTGAGTGGAGACAAAGGTTTTTGGGACCTGACGAGCTGTTAGAGTATGAACAGGGTAATATTTCGTGAAGTGATTCAGGAGAACCAGTTAGCCGGACTTTAGTCCTGGAGGTGAGAAGTACAATGCCTGCACTCTAAAGGAGGGGTTTGGGATATTTTCTGTTTAGAGTGATGTCAAAACTGTCACATCTTTGCACATGTGGCAAAACAGTGGTAGTGTGATTAATGGTAGAAGTGTTTCTTTTTCAAGTCACCTTGCCTTGGTGGGAGATGGCTGGTGTATCAAAAAAAAAAAAAAATAGGTTTTAACTAATAAAATAAATGACTAAGAGAGCATATAATAGTGGGGAGGAAGGAGGGCTAAGGGTCATCCCAGGAAGGGTTGGAGGGAGGGGTCAGGGGGTAAAGGAGGTTCTGAGTGCTGGGAGCTTCACCATCCAGCAGGTTTGTGTTAGTATGTTAGATAAGAGTGAACAGAGTAAAGTGAGCCTTTATGACTTGACATATTAACCATACCATGGGCGGGATTTGAACCCGCAGTCAGAGAGTCAGAGGTATGGTTTGTTTGCAATCGTGTCATTATGATTTCGTGAGTCACTTGACATACTGTTGGAGTGTGAGCAAACTAACTTCTGTGAAGAAATTCTGGGAAACTGGTTAGATAGATTTGAGTCCTGAAGGTGGGAAGTAAATTTTCAAGAGGGTTGAGGATACTGCAGTTTGCAGGGTCAACCTGCCTCCATGGAGATATCTTGTCGAGGCCCGGTCCAAGACCAGGCCTCAATGTGTTAAAAATTATAAATAATAATAATAATAATAATAATAATAATAATAATAATAATAATAATAATAATTATAATAATAACAATGAGAGAAGTGGACTTACATAGGGCAGGCTGCAGCCGAGGCAAAGATGCTTTGTGTGATGTCATCAAGAACTTTGAGGAGAAACTCTGCATTTGCACAAGCATCCATAGGATTGTCCATTTTTGTTGGATTGAGCTGCAACAAGAGAACTGTATGCTAGGCACAAAACTTAACAAAAAAAATATGATAAAAATCTTGCTATTTAGTCTTGAATAATCAAACTTAAAACAATAAGACTGCTACTTGTTATCACACTATCTCCTACTTGTTATATACAACTGCTATTTGTTATCACACTATCTCCTACTTGTTAAATACCAACAACTACCGCTGACATATTTCACTTCACAATAACCATCACCGATTCTCACTACCTCAGGAAATACACAAACATTCTAAAACAAGAACACTGTCATTTTGAAACATAACACTGGAACTTTCACTTTGGGAAGAACAAAATGTTCTTCGAGACAGAATAAAACTCCGAATTCCACATGAAGAAAACATAACGATAGATAATTATAAAATAAAATATGAATATAGTACAAAGAAAATGCCAACAGTTTTTCAAAAGGAGAGAATAACAAATACCAAAAGAGGTGAAAGGCAAATAATGAAAGACTACAAATAATGTATGAGATATATATGGCAGTGGAACACATGAACACATTCAAGAGTTATTCTACTCATAAGCTTAGCATGAGGCAGGCCTTCATGGTCGGTCAGGCTGTTGCTGCTGCCAGAAGACTGTAAGCCTACACAGCCAAACAGGAAATCACACAAAGCATCCCCAGTACAAGGCACAACAATATTAATAAACAAATAACTCACACACAGGAGAAATCAACTTATGACATTTTAGCTTGGTTTGGACCACTAACTAGAAGATCAAGCAGTGCCGGTCATCAACAAAAACCTACCTATCAAGCTTGAGTAGAATAAATTTTACTTGTTACTTCTATGCAATGATTAATTAAAAATGTAGAAAAACATATGCCCTTTCATAAATGGCCTCCTCACAAAGACAACTGCAGTCTACAGAGCCTAGACAGAAACCCATACCAGTAAATAAGTTCCAGGGAGGAATAGGCCTATATGCAATATTCACATGGTTGAGAAGAGCTCCTGAAGTCATCAGATAATATAGTACAAGTACTGGGAATCAAATTCAGAGCAGAAAAAACTAGTGAATTTCTTAATAAAGTGTATCATATAGCATGGAAGCCTTGCTGAGCACTCTGTTCCCAAAACAATGCTGAGAAAAGTTCAATACAAAAGCCTCTAGTCTTTCTTTAAACACGTACCTCTGAAAAAGGCACTTGTTTAGACTACAGAAGAGAAATACATAGTTGAATGGCTTAAAAAGCTACAAAATACAGAACAGAGGAAAAAATACTTACATATACTGGGGAAAGTAGGCAAGTGGATATTCAACTTTCCAACAGACACGACACAAGAGAGTGGTTAATAAGTGGAGACAACGCCAACATCAGCAAAGCAGAAAGCCTGGTACTCCAAGACACAGTCCTCAAGTGTCAGCAAGGTAACATTTATAGAAGGATTCAGGGAAAACTGTTAGCTGGATTTGAGTACTGGAGGTGAGAAGTACAGTGCCTGCACTCTGAAGGAGGGGTGGTAGTAGGAAGTACAGTGCCTGCATTCTGAAGGAGGGGTGGTGATAGGAAGTACAGTGCCTGCACTCTCAAGGAGGGGTAGTGGTGGGAAGTACAGTGCCTGCATTCACAAGGAGGGGTGGTGGTGGGAAGTACAGTACCTTCACTCTCAAGGAGGGGTGGTGGTGGGAAGTACAGTACCTGCACTCTGAAGGAGGGGTGGTGGTGGGAAGTACAGTGCCTGCACTCTGAAGGAGGGGTGGTGGTGGGAAGTACAGTGCCTGCACTCTGAAGGAGGGGTGGTGGTGGGAAGTACAGTACCTTCACTCTGAAGGAGGGGTGGTGGTGGGAAGTACAGTGCCTGCACTCTGAAGGAGGGGTGGTGGTGGGAAGTACAGTGCCTGCACTCTGAAGGAGGGGTGGTGGTGGGAAGTACAGTACCTTTACTCTCAAGGAGGGGTGGTGGTGGGAAGTACAGTACCTGCACTCTGAAGGAGGGGTGGTGGTGGGAAGTACAGTACCTTCACTCTCAAGGAGGGGTGGTGGTGGGAAGTACAGTGCCTGCACTCTGAAGGAGGGGTGGTGGTGGGAAGTACAGTGCCTGCACTCTGAAGGAGGGGTGGTGGTGGGAAGTACAGTGCCTGCACTCTGAAGGATGGGTGGTGGTGGGAAGTACAGTGCCTGCACTCTCAAGGAGGGGTGGTGGTGGGAAGTACAGTACCTTCACTCGCAAGGAGGGGTGGTGGTGGGAAGTACAGTACCTTCACTCTCAAGGAGGGGTGGTGGTGGGAAGTACAGTACCTTCACTCTCAAGGAGGGGTGGTGGTGGGAAGTACAGTGCCTGCACTCTCAAGGAGGGGTGGTGGTGGGAAGTACAGTGCCTGCACTCTGAAGGAGGGGTGGTGGTGGGAAGTACAGTGCCTGCACTCTAAACAAGAGATGGAGAGTTACAGTTTGGAGAAACATCTGAACTGCAAAGTCAGTGCACCTCTGGTGATGGAGTGAGTGATAGTGAAAACATTTCTTCTTTTACAGACCACACTACCTTGGTGAGAGACAGCCAGTGTGCAGCCTCTCCTCACTTAACGACGGAGTTCCATTCCTAAGACCATGTCATTAAACGAATTCGTCACTAAGCGAGAAGCATACTATAATGGTAGTGGGTTTGTATCTACCATCTTTGATATTGTTTTAATGTCACCTTTGCACCATTTCTGGTATATTTTTAAATGTTTATACACTAGTGTACTGTATATTGAAATAAACAGAATACAGGAAATCAGCTCTAACATACATTATTTAGGTATAAATACTGGTCAGAGAGCCCGTTATAAGTCCAAGATGTTTGTAAACAACTATATCGCTAAGTGAGGAGAGGCTGTATATGTAAACACTGCATGTACTGACTGGTATATGTAAACACTGCATGTACTGACTGGTATTCAGGAATCAACTAAGTTAATCATTAACGTATCTGAGAATCGTATGGGACACGTATGTACGGACCAATGATCTTAAACTAGCTGAACAAGTATTACACATGTTGCAGAATCATCACATCTGCACAAGTGGAAAGATACAACTGTGGCCAAAATGTGTATTACTTGCCACAGTAATGCTTATGCCTTATATCTACAAGCACAGTATAGCGCTGACTTTTTTGGGGGGTTATTCTAGGTAATTTACACTATGTACGATAACTGTACCCATATGTATCTGTGCCTGAAAAACTTAGTCCTCAATTCTTTTCTGTCATTCAAACAATTATGTTTGATTGGTACATATTTCTTGAAGGACAGGTGTCTCTTGAACAGAATCAAGGACTAAATAAGTTTGTTTAGGCATAGGTACATATAAGTACAGTTATCATACATAATGTAAACTACCCAGGATATAAGGCATAAGCATTGCTTTTTTTTTTTCAACAAGTCGGCCATCTCCCACCGAGGCAGGGTGACCCAAAAAGAAAGAAAATCACCAAAAAGAAAATACTTTCATCATAATTCAACACTTTCACCTAACACATAATCACTGTTTTTGGCAGAGGTGCCCAGAACACAACAGTTTAGAAGCATATACATATAAAGATATACAACATATCCCTCCAAACTGCCAATATCCCAACCCCTCCTTTCAGGTGCAAGCATTGTACTTCCCATCTTCAGTACTCAAGTCCAGCTATATAAAAATAACCGGTTTCTACGAATCCTTTCACTAAATATTACCCTGCTCACACTCCAACAGCTCATCAGGTCCCAAATACCATTTGTCTCCATTCACTCCTATCTAACACACTCATGCATGCATGCTGGAAGTCCAAGCCCCTCGCCCACAAAACCTCCTTTACCCCCTCCCTCCAACCTTTTCAAGAAGGGCTCCAACCCCTCCTTCCTTCCCTTACAGATTTATATGCTCACCATGTCATTTGACTTTGATCCATTCTCTAAATGACCAAACCACCTCAACAACCCCTCTTCAGCCCTCTGACTAATACTTTTATTAACTTCACACCTCCTAATTTCCACACTCCAAATTCCCTGCATAATATTTACATCACACATTGCCCTTAGACAGGACATCTCCACTGCCTCCTTGCTGCAGCATTTACAGCCCAACCTTCACACCCATATAAGTGTGTTGGTACCACTATACTTTCATATTTTCCCTTCTTTGCCTCCATAGATATGTTTTTTTTTTGTCTCCACATATACCTCAATGCACTACTCACCTTTTTTCCTTCATCAATTCTATGGTTAACCTCATCCTTCATAAATCCATCCACTGACACTTCAACTCCCAAATATCTGAAAGCATTCACTTCTTCCATACTCCTCTCCAATTTGATATCCAATTTTTCTTTATCTAAATCTATTTGATACCCTCATCACCTTACTCTTTTCTATGTTCACTTTCAACTTTCTACCTTTACACACACTCCCAAACTCGTCCAATAACCTTCGCAACTTTTCTTCAGAATCTCTCGTAAGCCAGAGGCATCATATGGGGGGAAAGCCACCCTGGGTGACACCATTTAAGGGGTGACACCATAGAGCCTCTAAAGAAGGTAACACTGATGACCAAAACCATGCTCCAGCAACCTAAGAGAAAAATTCTTCATTTCTATATAGCCTATTTTAGGATTACATAGTACAAACAGGCCTATATAGAGAAAATCATTGATTTTGTTGATGTGATAGATGATTTTGCAGGATTGAAGGCAAGGAAATGAAATATCAGATTCTTTGAGATGTTACCTATACTCACGGTTAAATCGGAACTAGTGTTTTTCTTTATTTTTCAAGTATTTTTTTTTTCATTGTTGAAGATGAATAAATGTAGGATCTGTTGCCTATACTCAAATTGGTATTTGAGTTTGTTTCCTCAATATTACTATGATTATTTATTTTATCATTAATAAAGTTCAGTTTATGGCCTTTAAACATTCTCATTGCTAAACATTAGTCACTGGTCGTGCAGTAGTGATGTCACAGAAGTTTACTATCCCATCCCCCGGCCCTTGGA